TTCCAGTTGTGTATCAAACATAGCAGGTACTGTCAGATTTTTACATATAGATCATGCTATCAAATTTATTGAGCTTAAATGTGAATCACAGTGAGACAGGCTCATTGGTGCCAGCCCCATTGTCAGCATTTCTTAAGACGGAACCATCTCACTATACCCAGTACACAGATTTTATGATATTTATCAATAAACAACAGCAACAGGGGGAGGTTTCAAATGAAAGCTGGTGACACATTGGTCATAAGTACTGCAAAAATTTATGTATGTATGGTGTAAGGAATTTTGTACCTACTAAAAATGTAGTAAGATTTGACAAACAGGGTTTCCTGCCAAAGACTGTCCAGTCACCTGGTATCCCCATCTGATATCAAGTATTGTAAGGCAAAACACAACAGATGCTACATCTGCATTCCAAGTCTTCATGAGGCTCAGCATACTAAAGATCAAACAGAAGGGCATTTCAAAAGCTTAGTTGGCTAGAACGGGGGGACAAGTAAAACTTATCAATTTATGGAGGAAACCCCTTGAAGAGCAGGGGATATTCATGAAAGTTTGCATTCTGCTTGTGGCTGAAAACCAGCAGCTCTGTCAGACAATCCTTGGGAGAAAAAAAAATCTACTTTCTTACATAGGAAAGGTAACACTTAAGTGTCAATTTAGGATTCTCTCTTATATGTATAGCCAGTTGTTTCCACTTACATCCTTGATATCTCTAAAACAAACAATCAAAAGTTTATTACTAAGGCCTCAGTATAAATAAACCTTGGTACTGTAATGTTGTTTTGGGTACACTGTCTCTTTGGAAACCCCTTCCCAGGTAATTTCCAAGAGTATCCAATGATTTGGGTTGGTGTGTGTATCATTATCCTGCACAAAGAGACTGAAGTCTGCGGAGTGTGTGTGAGTTCCAGCAGGCAGTAGATAAAACTGCTGCTTACTAACAGCACATAGTGAAAAAGTGCCTCATCCTAGGATATCAAGGGGGTATAGCAGAGTCATGTGCAGGGAGTCTTGGAAAGGGAGATTGGAGGTGGGTGGTCCCTGCATGCTAGAGTTCAAGTACAAATCCTCAAGGGTAAAAGTCCTAACAGGAGAAGGGTGAAACGTGAGAAATGGATTCTAACCCCCATCCAAAACCTTGCCCTTTAAAGCAGAGGCAGAGAAGCTTTTTTTGTATCAGGGTCTACTGATCTACAGAAAAAATATCGATTGTGGGCCATTCACAGATCCAGGCCCATGAAGGAATGAGGAGGCGCAGGGTAGGGCCAGAAATTAAGGGTTTAGGTTATAGGAGGGAACTCCAGGCTTGAGCAGGAGGTTGGGTGTAGGAAGGGTTGAGGACTGCAGATGAGGGTGGATGGTGCAGGCTGGGGCCATGGGGTTTGGAGTCCTGAGTTTAGGGATGCAGGGTCTGGGAGGGAGTAAGGGTGTGGAAAAGGATACTGACCTGGAGTAGGTGGTTAGAGGGGGATTCAGATTCTGGCCCAATGGCACTTAACTGAATTGTCTCCCTGTCAGCAGTGTAGTGGAGCAAAAACAGGCTCTGTACCTACTATGGCTCCACACCACTCCCAAAAGTGGCTGCCGTCTCAAAGTGGAGGAGCCAGGCAGATCTGTGCGATTCCTGGCCAATGGGAGTTGTAAAGCTGGTGCTAGAAACAGTACATTGAGTTTCCTTGATTGCCTCTGCACCTAGTGACCATAAGGACATACTGCGGGCTTCTGACCTGCAGTGCAGAGATTTGCCACAGGCTGGATTAAATTAAGTGGAAGCTCTCCAATCCTGATATTAGAGGCTTAGTCCTTTCAATTTAAAGCAGCTCTGTAATCAATGTTGCAATAGGTTGCCATTTTAAGCTATGAGGAAATGGATAACTTCATTCTTACATGACTACATATTCAATACGATAGTGTAAGAAATATCAACAGTTCCATTTTCAGACTATGAAGATTTTATTTTCAAATAGATAAAATATGTATAGTTCTCTTTTTAAAAGATTTTAAAACATTCCAAAAATGCTTACAGAACAAACAAATAAATAAACACACTTATACTGATTGCGAATATTTTAAACATGATTTTGCTATTGTTCAGATGTAAAATTTAGGAAGTTGGTCCAAGAAACCCAAGAAAAATTGTTAAAAGATTTTTTTTCAATGTTCTTCTTTTACTTTTGAAGAAATTACACAGACTTGTGCAATATCATCATACTCATATGTTCTCTTCAAAAACGTGTCTGTTAGTCTTAAGCCAGAGACACTCTAATGGGAAAAAGATATGTACAAAGTTTAGTAAGTACAGAAGAATAAATTTTACACTATTGAGATTATAAAATAACCACTATGTATCACATTTTATTTGGTTCAAGTGTGATGACTCTTACTTGTAATCCCTGTACTGAAGACAACAGAGTAAGTGCAAGATGGAGGGATGAACTGGGGTGTAGCTTTCCAAGCTGCCTTCCTGAAACTCCACACCAGTGAATGGAATTAGTATTGCACATTTCCAAAACCAGATCCATAGTTCTTTCACTGCTAGATGAAAGTAAACAATAAAGAATACATCTAATTATTTAACATTCAAGAAAGCCTGGAGAAGTACAATAGCTTGATGTTTCTGTTAGCACGCATTAGAAACTCCTGATATAAATGGTTTATTACTGAAGTTAAGGTGAGCCATTACAAGTCATTAAGTCTCAAAGTTTCTCAGTTACACAATATATTTTCTGCAACTTTGTAAGAATTGTGCAGTGAGGCTACATCTACACTGCCAGCTTTGCTGGCAGTGAGTATACAAATGAGGCATGGATTAGCATATCACCATGCTTCATTTGCATAACTTATGCAAGCTGTTTTTGTGCAAAGGGTTTTTGCGGGGGAGTATGGACGTTTTCTTTTCGAGCAAAAACCCCTTTTCCCGCCAGATCCTTATGCTCCAAAATAGGAGGTTTACCAATCTGGCGGGAAAAGGGGTTTTTGCTCGAAAAGAAAACGTCCATACTCCCCCGCAAAAACCCTTTGCACAAAAACAGCTTGCATAAGTTATGCAAATGAAGCATGGTGATATGCTAATCCATGCCTCATTTGTATACTCACTGCCAGCAAAGCTGGCAGTGTAGATGTAGCCTGAGACTAACTATGCTGGAATGCCATAATAGCATTTACACGTGGGACAAGAACAAAATGACTACTAAAAAAGGTGAATGCAGAATAATGGCTTCCCTTTAGTTCCTGGCCTGAGTTACTGCTTAGAATTACATAATTTAAATAATGGTACTAATACAATCCTATTATAGCATGACTACTACTCGTTATGTCAAGTGGCTACTTGATATTCAAGTTTTGGATACATTTGATTAAAACATCTGAACAATGCTTCTGGAAAGTTGCAGAGTAAGTGACAATTCAAGTTGTCTTTATGAATTGTCTTTATTCTTCAGGAAAGTAGTTGGTGAAGTAGTTTAACTTAGTGTTTATATTTATGCTAATAATGTAAGTTGTTTTGTAACTTAACTCTTATATCCGTATAAAATTGCAGTTACAGACTTCCATCACAGAATTCTGGCACCATTCCAGTAGTGTCACCAGCACACTTTGGTGGAATTTTAACTTTATGATCACTTTACTGTAAACATTATTTCAAACAACAAAGAGTAGCAATGTGGTGCGCGCACACACACACACACACACACACACACAAAACTGATTTTAGTAGCAGGTGTTAAAGAAACCAAACTTCTCCTATCAATCAAAAAAGCTCAAAAACCAATTGATATTACCTGCAATTTGTTATTTTACATGTAATGTCAAAAGGCTCTTCCAGATTCACAGTATCTGGTATTGTCTCCAAAGAAAGTCTTACGTCACCATAACCTGGGGCCTGCAGAGGTATAAGAACAGTTAGCTTTTCAAATGATTGTTAAAGCTCAAGTATTACACTGAGTTTTCATTTAATCTAGTTAACAAGTTTAGACTAAGGTCATGTTTACATTTACAGGGGCATAGCTGTATCCATACAACTGTGCTGCTGTAGGATTGCTAATGTGGCCAAGTTAGGGTGACTAGTGAGAGCTCTCACATCAACAATCAAACCAGCTCAATAAGTGGTGGTAGTTATGCCTGTGGAAGAACATCTCCCACTGACATAGCACTTGCATAAAAGTGCTGATGCTGGAAAAAAAACATGTCACTCCAGGTAGTATAGTCAACATGCTAGTTGACTAGTTGCTTCCCCCACCCTTGCTACCTTTATCAGAAAGAGGCAGCAAGGGGCAGGGGAAAAGAGGAGGGAGTGCTGGGGGGAGCTCCTTTGAAACGTACAAGAGCCCCAGCTGGGGCTCTTGTGCATTTCAAAGACTGAAACACCGCATGGAGTCCACGGCCAGCGGAGGCTCTTGTATATTTCAAAGTGGAAGCGCTGCATGGAGCCCAAAGTCAGCGAAGGATTTCCCGCTGGCCCCAGCCTCCATGTGGTGTTTCAATCTCTGCTACATTTCAAAGGGGGAATGCCATGTGGCACTTCTGCCTTTGAAATGTAGCAACAGTTGGGCAGGCTCTTGCTACATTTCAACATGCCAGCACCCTTATCGACTAATCAAATAGTCGATGGAAATTCCATCAACTTTTTGATTAATTTTAACATCGCTAGCTCCAGGAATGTTTTTTCCACACATCTGGACAATCATTTTGCCAACGTAAATGCTAGTGTAGATGTGGCCTAAGAAATCTAAAAAAAAAAAAATTATTTTCATTTTTCTTTCTAAGTTAGGATGGGTGAAAACTATTAGGGAAAAAAAAACCATCTTAAGTATACACTCTTTATAATTAAGTTTTCCAATTTCTTAATTTAAGTTTTGAACGTGAACATACGATTTTGGAAAGGAGTCATTTTACTTTGAGACTGAATATCTTTGTTGTGCTCAAAAGCAAGTAAGGGAGAGTGAGCAATGGAAATATACACTTCCCCACGCTATCCCATTAACACAGTTGATCCAGCTAGGCTGGCATTTGATGTTGATACTTGTTCATTACCATTTGGATTGAGACCCAAGACATTTTAGCATAGCTCACTGACTACACATCATATGGCAGAGGCTTTGGTTACTACCTGTTTGGTCTGAATTCAAGCCAGAAAACTGGAAATAAAGAACTCTATGCTCTATTTCCAAAAGCCTTAACTATCCATTCCTACCTCCTTTTCTCCTCCCTCTCCCAAAGCTCAGAGATGAAGCACTTAAATAAATTGGACTGTGTAGCACAGTCCTGTTTTTTGTTTCAGCTGCACCAGATTAACACGGCTACATTTCTACCACTATTTTAAATAAATTGGTAGGTTTATTCTAAGTTTTCCCATATGAAATGTAACTTTTCATATGGCATCCTTCATACAGTACCACAGAACATTTTACCGATAAATAATGAAAAAAGAATGATTCACAGAGCAGGGAATGCCTACTTCCTGGAAGGCTGAAAGGCCTACGTAACGAAAAGAAGGAGAATTCATTTAAAAAGTGCAGATGTGCAAGGAAAGCTAGTCTTGAACAAAGTAGCACTCAAGCAGCTGTGTTTTGGCTCTTTAAAGAGTTAAGGGAGAATTCCAAATCAATGAAGCAGCTGTGAAAAAGGGCAATCTCTAACTTACATGATTTGAGGGGAAGAGGTGTAAAAGGCAAAAGAGAGGAAAGAAGGATGAAATGATTCATCAAATGTTTTCATTTGGGTTAGGAGATAGGAATCTAGTGAAGGTGAGGAAGGAAAGAATCTGATCCTATTTCATAAAATAGGCAGCTTGGCCATAGAACTGTGTCATAAATCAAGGAGGAGGTAGTGTGTCCTATTGGCTAGAGCAGAATCAGACGGCAAAGCTGGAGTTGTAGTCAGGTGATAAGCCAACAGTCAGAGCCAGGAGTTAGGAATGTAAAGTTTATAGGTAAGCAGAGTCAAGGGACGGAGTTAAACAGGTTAGAGATAGAGGAAGGGTTAGATAGGAAGGGTTAGATAGCAATCAGGTCTGATGCAGCTGTGGGTTTGGAACGCATTAAGCAGTCACTATACTGCTGTTTTTAAAAGCTTACATGATCATCCTTTGGTTCTCCTGACCAAGTAGAGAGCGCAGTCACTTAGTGAGGATATATTGGGTTCACTCAAGCTAATTTGGTTGCTAGCCCCAAATTAGCAGAGTTCCTGACAGTATTCTAGCCTCTCAATAACAGAGACTAAGAAAAACAGCAGTTATTCAGCAAGAGAATGTTAAAGTCTAGCAGTATTTTACAAAATTAAGACTGGAACACAAATTTGATGTGTGAGTGAGTGAGAGTGAGAGAAAGACAGAGATCACACACAAAACATCTAAAGTTGAAGTGAACAATGAGACATTCCAGAATGAGAACAGGCCACAAGTAAAGGCTTAGGATACAAGATAATGGAAGGGAAGATTTCCCTTTCAGAAATTAAAGTACCATTAAGTACGTGAATTCAGTTAGTCACCAGTTTTCTGCTTGAGGTACTTTTGTATTCTGTAAAGCCACACAGAAATTGGAACATCATTCACCACCCAGAGAAGGGCAATGTAAGTACCGTGACAGAGAGCAAAGCCAAACTGTTCTACAACAGGGCACCAAGAAGAGAAAACACTAGCCTTTCTAGAACCTTATTTGGAAAATCATATGTCTACGTAAGACTATTTAGCAAGCAAGAAAGGTTAAATAAATATTTACAGAAGGGGATTAAAAACAGTGGCTAAGAATTAAGGTGAAAACCAGCAGATATTGATAGAAATCTTGGACCCACTGAAGTCAATGGCAAAACTCTCATTAAGTGATGACAGGAGTAAGAAAGAATAAAATTAGGTTAGAAGGAGAAAACTAATGATTGAAGAGGAATCTAGCAAAGTAGTAGTTTGATGGGACAAAAGGTCAAAGGAGAGAAGCGTGGGAGTCAGGTTCTAACGAGAGAGAAAAATGAGACATTTGGGAGCCAAGCAGCATGTACATTTGAAATAGCTAAGTGCAGAAAACGCCTCACAGCTATCATTAGAAAGAGGGGTACTGTGAACCACTGGCTTACAATGATGAAATAGAAGCAAGTCAGTCTCCAAAATGTCAAGATTTATTAAATAGTCAGCTTTGGTTTCCATATGCTCACTGAAGAGCAAAGTGAGCAGTACCACTGGATTTTCAAGTACAAGCAGCTGGAGTTAAGATACTGTAGGTAATCTGATTACCAAAGTAAGTCTCCAATGAGGCAGGAGAGAAAAATAAAAGAATCCTGACTTTAGGTGGGTAAAGTCTGTTTTATGGGAAAAGAGTCTGTCTTAAAGAGAAATTAGCAACAAGGTAGGCTAAGAGTGGGGAGAGTTTGTTGACTAACACAAGAAGATATAGCAGACAAGCTAGAGTTTCATCAGTATACCCATGACATTCTAGTGATGAGACATATCAACATCTATGAAATACTGGCACACAGTTATTAGACAAAAAGAGCGTACAGATGGGACAATTTCCAGCTGGATGGAGGGGGGAAGAAATGCTTGATGTAACTGTACATTGAGGTTACAATGAAAAGAACAAACAAACAAAACAAACAAAACAAAACAAAACAAAAATTCAGTGTGAATTTCTAAGTGACTCAAAAAGGTAATGCTATATTTCAGGTCTGTCCCCCATTGATTCCGTATCAGATGTATTTGGTTTACAACGAGGCAAGTTAGGTGAGGTAACCTTCTATTGCAGTGGTTTAAAAATTTTTTTACCTCATGACCCAGCTGAAGAAAATTATTCATGCTTGCAACCCAATATAGTTTGACTAAAGTGTGGACTTCAGAGTGGGGTTGAGGATGAGAGCTTTGGAAAGGGGGCAGAGCTAGGGAAGAAGGGGCTTACCTTGATTGGCTCCTGGTCAGCAGTGCTGCTGGGATGTTAAAGCAGGCTTCCTGCTTCTCCTGACACCGCAGACCATGCTGCACCTCAGAAGTGGCTGGCAGCAGGTTCTGAGCCAATTGGAGTGCAGAGCTAGAACTCAGGGCAGGGGCAATGTGCGGAGCCCTGTGCCCTCCTCTCCCCTCCCCCCCCAACCTAGGAGCTGGGCCTGTTGCCAGCCACTTCAGGGGTGCAGCACACTCTGTGGTGCCAGGATATGCAGGTAGCCTGCCTTAGCACCCCCACTGATCACCCTGCAGCAATGAGACCCAGTGCCTGACATTCTATGACCTAGTATTGGGTCGCTACCCATAGTTTGCAAACCCCTCTTCTATTGGACCATCTTTTGGTGACGGAAGGTACAAGCTTTTAAGTTTAAGAACTCTGTGGGCCTCAAAAGCTTGCATTGTCGAGTAACAGAAGATATTACCTCACCTACCTTGTCTCGTTCATATCTTGAGGCCAGCATAGCTACAGCACCACTGCAAACAATTGGTCACAAAGAGACTTTTTTTCCTGACACCTAGTTCTGCAAAGTGCAGCCTATGATGCAAGTTGGTATGTAGGTAAGGAAGAACCCACCACCTTCAATAATGTGCTGCTGCAAGCCAAATTTAACTCTTTGTGTTGCCTAGTAAACACACAGTGAGGTGGCACAGCTGGCTGATTGGTCCTGTAATAAGAACTTGTAAGCAACTGTTGATGAACCACCAGATGGAAAAGAATCCACTCCTTTTTGAAGTGTTGGCTGCAATGGCCAAGAAGAGTAAAATATAAAAACTATTTTTATTAAAATTGTTGATTATTTTCTGCTTAAGGAAACAGACGAGTCCAATGCACACACCGAGTAGATCTGAGAGATAAGAGGAGCCATATTTAAAGACAAGAACTATTCTTAAATACATTGGCAAATTCCAATCAAGGGACTAATTTTTCTTCACTCTCTGGTACTTTGGTAAATTAAATGCTTTGTTCTTGCAATTCTAACTTCATGATCTGTTAAGTTGTGTGGTTCGATGTATCAAAAATGGGCATGTTTTATACTATTGATATACAAGTAAAACATCAAGTGAAAGGAATTTTGCCTCTTCTATACCAACAGGTCAGAAAACCTAGTATTATTATTTAGTTTCTCTATTTCAGGGAACATGATTTTTTCACACTTCACAGAGCAATTCTTCCCTGAAAATGTATATGAGAGTTTTCCAAAAATGTGTGTGAAGTATAAACACACAAGTTGAATTCAGAATAAGTTCAGTTAGCGTGCAAGCACTTGAACTCTTTTCTTTCATGGTTTAAGTCTTCAGTTCATCACTCAGTCATTTTGAAAATGAATTTTATGATTGTAAAAGACCTACCATTCTCTGAAGCTGGCTGGTCTGCAACCTTCCCCGTTCTCCTAAGTTCGTCTTCCATACAATATCTAGTTTTCCAATTACTGTTACACCTTTAATCACTCCAGCTTTCTCTGCAAATTCCTGCTTGGGTTTTAAGCAATATAAATACTGACGAGTATCCATAGGTTGTAAATATGTCCTTGAACCAAATGTGGAGACACTAGAAAAACGAACACTGTTTAGAATTCTTGATTTTATCTTTAGTAATAAATCAATAAAATCCTCTTTGCTTTGTGTGTGGTTTCTTATTCAAAATTGAAACCTTACAGAAAACTGTTCTTACAGAAACATGGAAAATAAACCAAGCTGAGATAGTAATCATGCCAAACATGGCAACACAAAGCATACAGAGAATTCAGAATCAAAGAACTGAAAATATATGAAATATAACCACCATGAAGAATATATTTACATGTAGGGAACAATACTGTTCTGGAATGTTTTGCTAAAATTATAACTCATATTGTCCATTAGTTTTTGGTATATATTATAGTCTTCTGATGACACTTTTCTTTTTTCAACAGGGTAATCTAGATTAGACGGTTTGTACACAAACTTTGAAAAACGAGAGCACTATGAAAATTTTAAATATAATTTTAGACCAGCATATTAAAACTTCAGCTTAATTTTAAATTCCAACAGAGAGCCATAATACAGCTCCATTTCTTACATGTATCAAATCAAGTAAGAGATACAATTTGTACTATACTCAAGTCTGGGTTTAGGGTGGGTGGGAGAGGGAGAGAGGTAAATATGATTTGTGACAACCTAACATGCAAAAATATAAACATCTGTATTTCATCCAATAATATTTGTCTTAATCTGAGAAAGGTGTTCTACCTACAGGAATGGAGCAGACCTCAAAACCTTAAAGGATGCTCATCAGAATTGGTGAGATTTGAATAAAGAACATTAAGGAGGCCTGCTTAGTCTTTAAATCTGTTTAAAATTAATATAAACAGAGAAAAGTGGAATGTGGATAAATTTTCTAATCATCAGTAGTATTTCTAGTAGGAATGTAATAGTGTAGTCGATTAACTGATAAGCAAAAGCTTATAGGTTAATGCTATAGACTACGTGCACTTCCCCCCTCCGCCCCGCTAGGACATTTTTTAGCAGACTGGCCAGCAGCCTGTCTCAGTCCTGGCTTGCAATGGGTCTAGGATCCAACCCCGGCGTGGGTCTGCATTTAAAGTGTTATTAAGAAGTGGACGGGCAGGCAGCCCAGTTCAGTTCTGGCTCACACTGAATCCAGGACCTCAGTCCCACCCCCCAACAGGGGCTGCTGTCACCCCTGTATCAGAGGTAGCAGCACAGGGTGACAGGCATCCAGACCGTGAAGGGAGCTGATTTTTAAATTGGCTCTCTTCATGGATCAGCTCCCACCTGGCACCCCACGCTGCCCAGCACGGAGTGGAAGGGGGCTCCTTGGGAGTAGGGCTGGAGTGCACTGGCTGCCAGCTCCACCCTCCAGGGACTATAGACTAGTTGAGTAACCAATAAGAATTTGTGCAGTTACTCGACTATTCAGTTAACCGATATTTAACATCTCTAATTTCTAGAAAAAACATTTATGTTAAAAATAGTTGAAATGAGGCTCCCTATACTCCCATTTAAGGAAAAAAACGTACACTGTAGTGTACATATAAGCAATTCTAAGGTCTGTTGAAAGAGACTTCATAGTGAAAGGGAGAAGGATAAGAAGTCTATTTTGGTAGACTGGATTCACTCATTAGAACCATCTAACCAAGTTCTTATATGTTCTAAGGTGCATTAAATACAATGCACAAATCTGATAACTTTATAGAGCTAAGAACCTAGCAGTTCAATTCTCTAGTCTAGGGCAACATAATATACTCTAATATTAGAAAATTCAAGAGCAAATTAAGCTAACCATCAGCCAGTAGCACTGAATAATTGAACTAATTAACACTACAAAAGCTTCCTGAGGTGTTTTTCCAAAGCTTCCTGAGGCGTTACTGGAACTTGTTCCACCAAAAACTTCTTCTGTTTGGAAGCTAGCAGAACAGGTATTTTACCCAAGACAGAGCTGCAGTGGAAAAAAAACCCTGAACAGGTCATCTGAAGAAGTGGGTTTTGCCCACAAAAGCTCATGATACTATATATTTTTTTATTATTCTCTAAGGCAGGAGTCCGCAACCTTTTCAAACCAAAGAACCAAACTACAGGCAGTCCCCAGGTTACGCGGATCTGACTTATGTCGGATCCGTACTTACGAACGGGGCTTTTCTCGCCCCGGAGGATGTGGGCGGCGGGACCGCCCAGACGCGCCACGGTCCCGCCGCCCACGTCCTCTGGGGCGAGAAAAGCTGCTCCGCGTCTCCCTGGTCTGCTGCGGAGGGGGATGGGGGTCCAGCAGACCAGGGAGATGCGGAGCAAAGCCGCGGAGGACGCGGGCGGCGGGACAGCGGGGCATGTCGGGCCCA